CTCTCTTGGGTTGACTTCAATGCTGTTCTTCACCTGAAGTCCTATGTTGCAAGGAGGAATTCCTCTTATTTCATTCACCTATTAGGTGAAATACGAAAGTAATCATGTCCAATCTTGGAACCTAAATTATCTTCCACTCAGAAAAGAGGATTTTTGATGCCACCTTGTGCATTGTAATTTTGTATCTACTCCACTGCCTGAAATGCACTTAAAATGTACCCACAGTATTTGGGTTTATACAGGCGGAGGTGTATATTAAGATATTCAAGTTTCATGAAATTCAGTTGGAGAACTGAGCATACACTTAGACCTTTTTTTCATTTGAACTCAATGGGATTTAAATAAACTTACATTTCACCCGTTCATAATCTATGTTTTTAAGGCAGAGGAGCTGTAGTTTTTAGTAAGGTCGATAGTATAGTGCCTAACGATTATCTGTACCTGTTAATCTTTATCTGTTTATCCGTCCACATAATCTTCTTCATATTATTATATTTGGTTCCACATTAGCTTTTCATTTATTTGCTTGTTCTTTTCATTTCTTTTTCTTTCTTTTTCTTTCTTTTTTTACGACTGACTTGTGATCATCAGCTTGTTTAGGAAAATAATTCAATCCAAGTCGACCTAGATCTCAATGAAATCAGAACAGGATCCAGCGACGTCAGGGAAGATGTGGCACAATTTAATACGTTTGTACCCTGAATATATATATATGGAAATAAATTATGCGGAGAACGACATTTCCATAGCTTACAATCAAACCTGTCTTCATGTTTCGTTAAAATTGGAAACAACGAAACGAATATAATATAATACAATACAAGAGACACGTTTTGAAAAACAGTGAAATAACTGGCCGGAAACGGAGTCGATCTTATAAAAAGGGTTTTAATCTAGAGCCACGACCTTACCTACTTCTCAGACTTCTATCATCAAAGCTATATATGCCGTTTAAGTCCATAGAAATGATTTACACTTACTCGCAGTAGTAGGCTGCGGTGGAAATAGCATTCATTGTCCTAAGTGAGAGACAAATTGACAAATAAAATATTTGAAATTTGACTATTAGTTTGGGAGGGAGTCTGACGTATCAGATGGAAATACATCTGAAATTGGAGATGTAAAAGGCTTTTGTGTGTGAAAGAACTATGGACGTAAAGGGCATATATATAGCTTTTACCATAGCATATATAATAGTGGCAGGGAAATGGTTTATACACCTACTCAACAGGTTGCAAACACAAATAAATGTAGCAACCTCCCCTTTCTCCGCATCTTTTCAAATTGAACTAATTCGTGTTTTCTTTCCATTACCATCTTAATTCCAGCCCTAAATGGGCAGGAAGTACTAAACTTCAGCCCGGATGTCCTAGAGCTTTAGGACATCTTGGGAAGTCTTTAGCATCTGCTGATAACAAAAATATAACTGCCATTGATATGCATGCATATTATACATATCTATTAAGATTTTCGGTACATACGTTTTTAAAATATTTAGATGTGCATGTACTTACATCATAGGGACTAAACACCACAGAGTTTTAAAATTGATTCAGAGCCCAGGTAAACTGGACTGTTTAGATTGCAGCCACTGAATTTTACTGGGGGGAAAAAACAGAGCTAAGGCTGCAGTACTAAGAAAAAGGTAGGGCACTACAGAAGAAGGAAAACGAGTAAAAGAGAACTTGCTGCATATATATATATATATATATATATATATATATATATGCCTCGTTTATTTGAGAAGGTCTCACTTCTGCCTAGATGTACAATGTGTATACCAGGTAAATGGGAAGAAAAGAAAAGAACATGATGCGACATCCACAGTTCACCCAGTTTAGTTCCTGCATTGTCACTGACTGAGCCGAAATCTACAGTATACTGAAAGATGTGGGGCTTACTTCTAAGGAAATGCCTTGGAAATCTTAACCTAGAGTCTCAAGAATCCTTTGAGATGTGGCGGGATGCGGTTAAATACTTATTAGATAGTGCAGTTTTCCTTCCAGATTTTTTTAAATTCTGTGAGGTGTTGGACCCATTGAAATGACTATGCTGGGAGGCTGACTGTCCCGCCCTTACTTATATAGGATCCCCATGTTCTTTGCAGCTCTGTGGTCACCGGCTATGAATGAACTCTGTTTGTGAGACTAGATTTCATTTCTACTGGAGAGTTTTTTATAAAGCATATAAGATATTCTATCAACCTGCAGGGACAGATAAGGAGGGATTCTGAAACACCTACATCCTTAGTCCTTAATTCCTTCAAGAGAGTCCCTGAGAAGAGGAAGGTTTGGGGCTTTTTGTTTTTGTTTTTAATCTCTCAGCAAAAGCTCCTCCATCAGAACCCAAACGCTCTCCCTTGGAAGTCGCTTCCGTTGAAATCTATGGGCCTGGCTTCCAATGTTTGGCTTCTAGGAAAGAGAGGGAGAGGGGTGCATTTCCCATTCGCCTGGCCAAGCTGCTCTTGTGCATCTCTAGACCCTTGCCCTTCCTAACAGCCCTCTAAGGACTGCATGAACAGCCGCGCTATTGAGTCGGGTCAACAGTGCAGACGGAAACACGCCATCTCAGGTTGCTCGCTATAGATCTTTTACAAGGGAAGGGAAGATGCCAAGTTGTTCAGGGGATAACTTTTATGGAGCTCAGCCTCTGAGGGTGGGACAGCGTTCAGGCTTTGGAATTAAACTGATTAAGCCTAGGAAAGCCAAGCCTTCCAAAGTGCTACATTTCCTTTTTATTTTCTTAGACGTCAGTTTATTTTGCTCCAGCCAGCCTTTGGCTATGAGCAGATTAATAACAGAACGGTCCTTATTCTGCTTTTCTAGAATGCCCCCACTCCTGTATGTCGTTCCTTGCCCTCCAGGAGCCTTTTGTGGAAAATATCCTTGGATTTGAACATACTTAAAAACACTTTCGAAGCTGGAGCCCCCGGTACCGGATTTTTGGTGAAGGAAAGCTGACATCCAAAAGCCGTTGAAGCAAAAAGCTACCTGTTACAAATAAATAAATAAAAATCGAAGACACCTCCCAAGAAATGTTTTTAAGCAAAGGCTCCTCTATCCAAGCCCAAACACCCTCCGATGCTTTGGAAAGTGAGTACCTTTGCAGACTGTCAGAAATAGTGCAAATTGAGTCCACATTAAATTGAGGCACTGCCCTGGCCCAGTGCTAGGAAGTCATGGGGATTGTATTTTTTTTCTAAGACCTTGAGCCTTCTCTGTCAGAGAGCTCTGGTGCCACAATAAATTACAGTTACCATAATTCCCTAGCACTGAGCCAGGGCAGTGCCTCAATTTAAAGTGGACTCAATTTGCATTATTTCTGGCAGTCTGCAAAGGCCCTTATTAGTTAACATCTAAACATAAGGTAACACGTTAACTGGAAGGGAGTCCATTAGTATCTGACTTCATAGATTTGTGAGGCTCAATCCTAACCGGCCTTTTGAAATGAAAACGCCCCCATAACGTGGGGGAATAGCCATTCTTTATTTTACACTGACCTTGACCTTTTAAAAAAAAACAATCTATGTCTACCCCTTGAACAGGAACAGGAAGCGGAAGTAGTTGCCAAAGCCCTGCTGCTGAAATCTTCGGGTGGCTAAGCGAGCTGGGGCTACATTTCCGACACTGGCAGCTCTGCCTTGTAGGTCTTTATTATCTCTTTCCTTTCTTCCCTCCTCTCGCACATTTCGCTGGCTTCCAACTTTTACTACTCCGCAGTTCATATTTCTTGCCCGAGGTCTATCACTAGCATTAATTGTCCCAATAAATTGAGATATAGTGTGCATAATGCAATGGAACAATATGGTGATATTCCACGTGTAGACTTAATTAAGCTATTTGCAGCCTGATGCTGCAAGCCAACGGGTGTGCAAGTGGATTAACAACGTACTGTTCTCCTATCCTCAGGATGGCGCATAATTACTTTACTGGCGGTACGTATCAATTTTTGATGATTGCAGAACACATGCTCACTTTACCAACAAGCGCTTTAATAACTCTCCATTGTGTTTTTAAAAACCGTTGTTTGGAAATATTTGGAAGTCTCTGCAAACAATTTTATAGCTTCTTAGCGTGCCCTTTAATGGCTCCGAGCTTCATGCCCGATGTATATTTTATAAAGTGCAAAGGCTAATGGGCCGTCCGCCTCTCAGATGGGGGATTTGGAGTCCCCTCCTGTCACTAACCCTTCCACCTCCGTCCTCTTCTCGGCCCTGCAGAGCCATCAGAGAGACTCAGGCAAACTGGGCAGATTCACCTCCCCGGTTTGATGCAAAACTATTGTTACTGGGCTCCTTCCTCTCTCCCTTCCTCCACCAGCTTCCTTCCTCGCCTTCAGCTGAAATTAATAATGGAAGGAGAGAAAACTGAAGGGTGCTCCTTTTCCTCTCCTTCAAACTATATTGCTCCTATCCAAACTATATTGTTTGCTCCTATCCAAACTATATTGGGTCTATATTGGGTCACCTCCATTGCCAAGGCCAAAAACATTGGCACCGCTTTTCCCAGCGTGCCGGAGCGCTCAAGGGATTGTGGGGGTGACTCGCCCAGCGGGGATCCCTCGTCCCAGGCCCGGTTTATGAAATTTACCAATTCAATTACCCAATGGCAAAACTCGATTAGGCCACTGCGGGAGGGAAGGAAGGGGACTGGGGACAGAGGTTGGTTGGAGGGCTTGTCACCATGCGCGTTCCCGACTGGCGTGGAGGTCAAACATCTTGAAGGCAGGCCCTTCCACGAGAGAGGAACCTTGGAAATCCACTGCCAGTACGAGAAGACAACGAGATCGACCCGGAGGAACCAAGGGTCTGGCTCTGCAGAGGGCCGTTTAACATGCTGTTTCATAACCACTGTGTTTTGCAGTCATTTGTTGTTGTAGTTGTGTGCTTTCAGATCGTTTCCGACCGATCGTGGGGTTTTCTTGGCACATGTCTGCAGAGGGGGGTTGCCACTGCCATCCTCTGAGGCTGAGAGAGTGCGACTTGCCCAAGGTCACCCATGGTCCAGCCGGGATTCGAACCCTAGCCTCCAGAGTCAGAGTCCGTTGCTCAAACCACTACACCACGCTGGCTGATATCAGGGCCATTTTGAAGACGTTTTCTTGCTAATTGTTGACCTACCATGGCTACAACAATGCACCTCGTTCAGCTCTTTAAATCCTACTGAAGTAAATAGGCTGCATCCTCCTCGGTGCCGGATTGCACCTAAGCCTTTGGGCAACACAATGCTCTTTACAGAGTTGCTAGACTGAAAGCTGTAGAAGGCTTCTGTACCTTTAATGATTGTGTAAAAGAGGGAATTTCGGTACAGGGTCACTGGATGAAATTTCCGCTTCTATGCAACCATCAAAGCTACAGGAGCCAGCTTTCAGTCTGGCAACCCTAATCCTACAAATCTCCACTCAGAAATAAATCCTATTAATTTAAGAGGCAGTCATTTACAAGAATATGGGCCTAAATGAGCCTAAATGAGGTGGGCCGATGTTAATGGAGAGAGCCAAAGTGGTGTAGTGGTTTGGGCATTGGACTATGACTCTGGATGCCCGCTTGGCCCTGGAAACCCAGTGGGTGGCCTTGGGCAAGTTACATACTCTCAGCCTGGGAAAGCTCCGTGATAGGTTCTCCTTAGAGTCACCATAAATCCGAAAAGAATTGAAGGCAGACAACAAAAATGTTTATGGAAGGAACCTGTGACCGTTTAGATGTCTGAAGCTATAACTCCATTTGCCCTTACCACCAACTATGCTGGGTATAAGAAATGTAGGTCAAAACCTCCAGAAGACCCAAGGTTCTCCACTCTTTCCGGGTTTAGAGGTCTAGCTAGGCATCACTGATGCAGGAAAACTTTAAAGCCGCCTTCTCCACCCTGACATGGTCCAGATATGTCGGATTTAAACTCCCAGTATGGCCATCAACGGGGAATTATAGTCCAACACATTTGGAGGGCTCCAGGTTGGGCAAAGCGGTTTTAAGGTCATAGCCATTATCCTGTTTCACCAGTGTGGGCTCCTTGTTTTCGTTGTCTTTTTGTGATTTGTGGGTTAATAATCCTATTCAATTGATGTTCTGTTCCTCGGCAAGACTGGATGGAGCTTGACTGAAGACTGGAAGGAGTGAGAAACTTGAGTTCCTTTTCACAGGGCTCTGCTAGCCCTGATCTCCTGGAGGCTCCTCAGATGAAGAGGCTGCCTGTCTATACAAAATGGAAGCCGCCCCCCATTGCCTCCCGCGGGGAGGGGGGGGCGAGCACTGCCTGCTCCATTTCCTTTTACAACCTTCCGGTGCCTAAAACAGAAAGAGTAGCATTTGGGTTTCTCAAAAAAAAAAAAAGGTGCATTTTATTTATTTACAAAATATAAAACAACAACAATAGCAACAAAGGAGCCGGTTCGTTCTTGTACCTGAAGCAGGTGATGCTTATGGAGAGACATCTGAAATGACAGCAGGAGAGAAGGCCAAATCTAATCAAGCCTAATAAACCGTGCGAGTCGAAATGTCATTAAACCTGATCAAGATGAGCCTCCGAATCGCCGAAAAGGTAAATGCCTTCATTAGGGTGATCTCTGAAGACTGTCGAATATTTCATTAATTTATAATTTATGATTGTTTGACAAATATTGAAAAGTATGTAAATATGAGCGGGGTAATGTCTTTTCTGCGGGAGATGAGGAAATGACCCAAACGGTAGATGCCTGCAAGATTACACACGAGGTCCCATCTATCTGCTCTCAAACTGTGCCTTCGCCTCTCCCCCGACATATTGTGCGACTGACAAGTGAAATAGTGCAGATAAACCAATGGTTTAAAACGTAATAAAGACAACAGCTATTTGCATTTTTTACATTTTATTACAAAGGTAATTTACTATGACACATTTTCGGGATGTCATCTCTGGGAAAACATTGCCAAGCAATTACAGAAATGCATACAACACAGAGAAGCCTGGAAAAAAAAAAGTCAGATAAAGAATAATATTGTGGATCCTGGGAGATTTTTCATGTCGCACACAAGGGTAGGTGGCAGGAGAGGGAAAGGGAGGAAGGATGCCATGTCTGCAAAAGCCACAAAGAAATATGAACACAACCAGCTGCCTGCTCCAACCGGGGAGCCCTCCGGACTACAAATCCCATCATCCCCAGCCAGTGCAGCTGACAGCTGTAGTTCAACACATCTAGAAGGAGGCAGATAGGGGGAGGCTGTCACATACATTATAAAAACAATTGGACGCCACTGATAAAAAAACGTGGAATAAAATGGCAGATTGTAAATAAATAGATCTGGAACGTTTCAGAAGATACTGGTCAGATTTCGACATTAGGGATCCAGGAAAGCTGGAGACGAGGATGTTGAAAGACAGACAAAATGTAAACTTTTAAAACTGGGTGGGATCTTCAGAGCCCTTGAATCGCTCTTGCTTCTTGAAAGTAAAGATAAGGAGAAATATTGCATTAAGGGGTTTGGAGAGATGGTTGTGGTTGTTGTTGTGTACCATCAAGTTGTTTCCGACTTATGACGACTCTAAGGTGAACCTATCAAGGGTTTTTCTTGGCAAATTTCTTCAGAAGGGGTTTGCCATTGTCATCCTCTGAGGCTGAGACAGTGTGACTGGCCCAAGGTCACCCAGTTACATGGCTAAGACGAGATTCGAACCCTGGTCTCCAGAGTCATGGTCCAATGTTCAAACCACTACACCACACTGGATCGGAGAGAGGTACATATTGACTTTTTGACCACTATGAGATGGTTATAGGACCACCAAAGAGGCCTGTGATCCTATGGAAACTTTGTGTATGTGTATGTTATAAAGGAGCTATCTACGATGTTGCTTCTAAGCAATAAACGGAGCCTCCCTTCCCAGGTTAGGAACACCCAATCTCTCCTTGCATCTGTGATGTTTCTTCACTATAGGGTCTCCCCCAGGACATGGTGAAGCTTCCCTTGGACCTTCCTCCTGCGCTGAGGGAAACTGCCTCCCAAATAAATAACTCTACATAGGAGTGAAACCTTAGCTTGTTGAAGTTCTTCATGGTGATAAGGATCCGTGTAGTCTAAAGTCTAAAAGGCTTGGAGTCTAAAGGATTGGTGAAATCCAGATGTCAATTTTCAGCAGCTGGAGCTCCAAGATCTCTCTCCTCTTCTTGCCTCCTGCATTTTTGACCTTCAGTCGACCTATACAGCACAATCTCAGCTATAAAAAGTTGTTTTATTAGGGAATCTGGCCACTGCTTCAGGCCTGTCTGATTTAGAAGAGAGGGAGAGTGAGGGAGAATTGCTGGAAACCTCCACTAGATCTTGTTACCTATTGAGAGACAAGAGTGCCAGACCCCCTTTTCACCCCACTCTCAGCCCCCAGCAGAAAGCTTGTCACAATGGAATCCGATTTATTGAAGAGCAGGGAAGGAGGCAAGGAAGAGGCTGTCTTGAACCTCAGCTTTGGCCTCTAGTTGGAAAGGATCAAGTGCTTCTCCTTCCGCCCCCGAGACCTTATGAAAAAAGGAACTCCATTGACTTTCCTCCAGGTTTAGGAGGGCTTCCTTCCAAAAAGGCGTACCTGAACGCTTCACACCACCGACTCGCCATCCAAGTTTAAGCTTACAGCAAAACACTCGGGGGAAAAACCTGCTTTTCTTCTCTAGAAATGGGTCTTTCTAATAATTTGTCAGCAGGAGTTTGATTTCCTTGTGGCAAATTAAACTGGAGTTGACCCCTTCTGGGCTCCCTCTTTCCTGGGTTTCCAAGACGGTTAGGCTGAAATGCGAATCCTCAATGCATTTGTTAGGAGCCAAGCCCCGTTGGTTTAAGTGGAACACGTTTCTCAATAAAAATGCCTGGGGAAGAGCATCTCAGGTAACCAGTTCATCATTCAGTGTCCCTCCCTTAGGAGGACTGCTTCACACAGTGGAGCTTGCTTCTGATGATTTTAAGTCTCTAGCCTGAAAATGTTAATGCGTGAACAAGATACACATGTGTGGGCAAAGGGCTACACAACAAAGGGACACTCCTCAAGGAGCTATGGTGGTCTGGAGGTTCTTTGTAGAGCAGGGATGAGCCACTTATGGCCCTCTCCATGCAGATGGACTTCAACTCCCATGGGCTAGGGCTGATGAGAGTCATAGGCCAACAACGTTTAGAGGGCTACAAATTGCCTACCCTCTGTTTTTGGGTGTGGATTTGGTGAGAAACTGGGTTTAATTTTGTGTAATACTTAGGTGGCCCTTAAGTTCCAGGGCGACTTCTGCTGCCTGGGGAAAGTTACCTTAGATGCTTTGTGAGCGCAGAAACTAATATTTAGGGGATATTGATCTACACAGAATACAAGGAAGAAATGTGGGGCTCCTTTAGTTGTTCAGTTGTGTTTGTGGATGAGGTTGCAGATCACTGTTCCAAGGGAAAACGGAGATTTTGGAGTATCCTGTTCCACGTCTTTATATGCAATGGTGTGGTGATCGCTTTGCAGCTATTTCTGTTATTTAAACAAGAGTAGACTTATTCAAACTAAGTGGGGTTATGACTTGGCGAGTATGGGGCAGGTCCTCATCAACAGAACCAGTGTGGTGTAGTGGTTTGACCATAGGACTACGACTCTGGAGACCAGGGTTCGAAAACCCCCCCCCCCATCATGGAAACCTACTGGGTGACCTTGGGCAAGTCACATTCTTTAAGCCTCAGAGGAAGGATAAGGCCAAAAAAAAAAAAACCCAAATAAATCTTACTAAGAAAACTTTTGCCTTGAGGTCACCATAAGTAGGAAACTACTTAAAAGCACACAACAACAATCTCATCTACTCTACTCAGCACCTCTCCTGTGAATTCTCCTTCCTACCCATGCTTCCCCAAGTTGCTCCATCTACAAGAGGGTTCCATTTTTCAAGACCTATCTGTACAGTTGTTGCCCAGCAGCCACCAACAAGAGCTATACACAAAGGAATACGGTCAGATTTAAAATGTTTGAACTAAAGGATTTGTTTTGAGTAGGAGAACTGAATGGAAGTCCCAGTTCTTCCTTTCACATCCAAACAATTCTGATAAATACAGTTTCTCTTGTTGTTGTGTGTGTTGCTTCAAGCCCTTT